AAAAGGTATTTTAAATTACCATCCAAGTTAAAGAACATAGCAAAAGGTAAAATAGTTTCGTTTAAAGCCAGAGTGATGTATACAATAACACGAGGAAGAATAAGAGCAGAAGGAAGGGAAAAAGGAGTAGGAAGAGTAGTAGGAGGAGTAGGAGTAAGAGGATGAGGATGAAGAAGAGGAATTGAAGAAGAGTACGAGGAGGAGGAGAAGAAGAAGAAGGAGAAGAGGGAGGAGGAGGAAGAGGAAGAAGAAGAAGAAGAGGGGAAGGAAGGGAAGGAGAAGTAGTAGTAGAAGGAGAGGGAGAAGAGAGTGGTGGAGGAAGAGGAAAAGGAGGAGGGGGAAGAAGAGGAGAAGCAGAAGAAGGAGCAGTAGGAGGAGAAGAGAGAGGTGAAGGAAGAGGAAAAGGAGGAGGGGAAAGAAGAGGAGAAGCAGGAGGAGGAGGAGATGAAAAAAAAGAGAGGAGGAGGAGGAAGAAGAAGAAAAAGAAAAGTAAGAGGAGTAGGGGTAGAAGAAGGAGGAGGAGGAAGAAGAAGAGGAAGAGGAGGAGGAGGACGACGACGAAGACAACGAGGGCCAGGGCTTGGACGAGGGCGAGTGTGAGGACGAAGGCGAGGTTAAGGAGGAAGAGGAGAAAGGTTACCAGAAGGAAAAGTAGAAGGCGGAGTAGGAGAGGTAGAAGAAGAAAAAAAGAAAGAAAGAAAAAAAGAAAATAGAGAAAAATTGTAAGGAAAAAACAGGCACTGATCCTGAGCCCGTCCCTCCGGCGTGTCCCCGAACCCGCAGCGTGCAAACCCCGTCACGCCGACTTCCCGACGACGGCGGCTAACGACAGGCGACACAGCGGTGAGTAACAGGGTCGCGGCAGAGTCTGTCACCCATGCATGGCTCTCCACGGGCCGGCTCCCCTCTTCCTCTCTTCCTCTCCCTTTCGCTAAACCTTCCTCTCTCGCTCTGGCTACTTGTTCTGTTTGGTTTGTCTTGCCCTTTCCGTCCCCTGTCTGTCTGGTTGTCTCTCTGTCACTACCCACGTCTCTCCATTTCTGATTCTATGTCTGTCCGTTTGTCTGTCTCTGTGTCTCTCCGTCTGTCTCTATGTCTGTGTGTCTATCTGTCTCTGCGTCTGTCCGTCTATCTGTCTCTGTCTGTCTCTATGTCTGTGCGTCTGTCTGTCTCTATAACCGTCTGTCTGTCTCTATGTCTGTCCGTCTATCTGTCTCTATGTCTGTCCATCTGTCTGTCTCTATGTCTGTCCGTCTGTCTGTCTTTATATCTGTCCGTCTCTATGTCTGTCCGTCTGTCTGTCTTTATGACTGTCCGTCTGTCTGTCTCTATGTCTGTCTGTCTGTCTGTCTTTATGACTGTCCGTCTGTCTGCCTCTATGTCTGTCTGTCTATCTGTCTCTTTGTCCGTCTATCTGTCTCTATATCTGTCTGTCTGTCTGTCTTTATTTCTGTCCGTCTGTCTGTCTCTCTCCATCCGTCTCTTTCATTTTTTCTACCTCTTTCAAAAGACCCATTATAGTGGAGGTAAAAGTTAATATATGAATAATTTACGGAAGTGCCAGCAGTTATGCTTTTTTGCCAAATATTTAAGCAGGGAATCTAAACTTTATGGCTGTATAAGAAAACGCGTTGCAAGTGCTATGGAATAAAGGTGAAAGTCCTATTGAATAGAGATACAAAGCGAGACGACAAAAAAAAAAAAAAAAAAAAACAGGGGCCGCTGTATTCGAAATTAATTATTGTCGACATGTAACCTCTGATTATGCACCGTGCCTCTAAGTGGTTGCGTAGTGATTTCCAAACAATTTCATGATTCAATTCACTGTAAGAAACTGGTTCCGTAAGCCGGGTATCTTTAAGGCACGATCAAAGGCAAAATTTACTTCCTTAAAAGTTTTCTGAGGATAACTTTTATTTATTATTATTATTATTATTATTTCTTTTTTTTACATTTTTCAACATAGTTAAGATATATCCATTACGATGCTATAATGAATGCAGTTATTCACTCTCATATTTTTTTTCTCTTAAAATGAATGGAAGTGTATTAGAAGGTCATATGTCTCCATCTCTCTGTCTCTGTCTCTGTCTCTCTCTCTCTCTCACTCTCACTCTCACTCTCACCCTCTCTCTTCCTCTCTCTCTCTCACTCACGCTCTCTCTCTCTCTTATTTGAAGGTCAGTTTCCTGCATTATGAATTCCACCATTTGACTCGCATGATTCTGGACTCGCCCATGTATAATCCAGAAGGGCGAAAGCGGAAAGAACTCACTATGTTTTTTTTCTCTATTGCTATAGTACTAACCACAGTATGAATATCTTCTATTCTAACAGGTAGGCTGGAAATTATAAGATTTGTTTATGTCTCTAGCAGAATCTATTATACCATTTTTAAACGTTAATTTCCCCTTAACTTTGTTATTTTGTATTTTCATCATGAAGTAATACAAGCCCTTTTTCCCACTTTAGCTTTGTCATTGCCTGGTACTAATCTCGAATTATTTCCATTGAGTGTAAATGTTACCAAAGCCATAGTTCATTGAGAAAAAAATTAATTGGAGGTCCATGGAATGTCAAAAACACTAATACCGTCCAGCATCGACGATACGTATTATTGAGAATGATCCATCAGATTTTGCTTACTAGTGATCGATCTATAAAGTCTGTTGAATTTCCTGCCTTGGATGTTCAATTTTGAACATCTTCCTGTGTACTCCCTCTGTCCTGACTTCTTTCAATCTTCATTAGTGTTTGGGACGGCTCATCTCTTTTGAAGTTTATTCCGAACCAGGACTGATTACTTTCGTTGAATTTTCAGGAATCAACAGGTTATCGATCATAGTGAACGTAACAACACGATATCCCAGGTCTGAGACATCACAGTGAGAGTGGTGTTCCGGTAGCGTACAATTTCCAGCCGTTCATGGAAGCTCCGCATATTGCCCTTGACCTAAACCTGAACTATGTACGTTACTAAGGCTGTCGGACAACCAGTGATAAACGTTATGTCTATTGTAGTGGAAGAAGATTGCTTTTTTAAGGCTCTCTATAAGGAGGGAATTATTTTGAACCTGTTTGTCTTTCCCTGTCTCGCTCCTCTCTGCCTGTATCTCTCTGACATTACCCTTTTTTTTTTGCCTGTCAGTCCCTGTCTGTCCGTCAATCAGTATAAGCGACTTTCCATGTGTTCTGTCGTTTTTCTGCTTTTTCCTTTGTTTGACGCCTCTGGGCTAAATACTCTTCGCATTTCCATTGTTTTTATTGTAAGTTTACTTCCATTTTACTCCATTGATGGTGAATAGGCTTTGGAAGTACTAGTGGTTTTTATGGAGCAACTAATGTTCTTTCTTGCTTTAGACTTAGTTTTTGTCTGTCTCGTGTTTATCAATTTCGTCGGCTCATGCTGTGTTCCTTAGTATTTTAATTCAAGAATTTGTGGCGATAAAAAAGTCCCGCCTTCATTTTGCAGATAAAGAAAAGAAGGAAGTTCTTAATGTTAATCCTCTTGCTCTCCGTTGTCTACGGCACTCTTCTCCTTATCTTTTATGAACACAGCTCCTTCTGCGACGCCAAGGACACGGCGTTTCCACTTAGTCACTGGATATGACAGACACTTGATTTCAGCCGTATTAACACTGGGGATGTGGCAAATTATAAAATTCTGAATAATACTCTTGTCTCTCTCACCCCCTCTCTCTTTCTCTATTTGTCTCCTCCTCTACATGCCTGCCTGTCTGTCTGTTTATATCTGTCTTTCTGTCAGGATCTTTCTCTACCTTTCTGTCTACCTGTGTCCGTCTGTGTCTGTCTGTCTGTCTGTCTGTCTATGTCAGTCAGTTTGTCTGTCTGTCTGTCTATCAGTCAGTCAGTTTGTCTGTCTGTCTGTCTATCAGTCAGTCAGTTTGTCTGTCAGTCTGTCTATCAGTCAGTCAGTTTGTCTGTCTGTCTCTGTCTCTCTCTCTCTTCCCACAAAGATACGGAGAAAACGAGAGCCTTAGTCAAATGAGATTTGGGATGAGCAGCCCCCGAATCAACCAAAGTGAGGTTACGGGACCCTCGCTGAATAGAACCAAAGGAAACCCAGTTTTACGGTTCTTGGAAGCCCATTATGCATGACGTACAAGATGCAGGATTGGTTACGACAGTCATTTACAAGCGCTGTTGAAATCTTATAATAGAAATGCGAATTGTTTTGTTGTTGTTGTTTTGGTATTCACGATTTCACTCAGATGCGTTCGTTGGTTTTACTTCACGTATTTGCTTGTTTTTGTTCGTAGGAACAGGAAGAAGGTTATTAACCAATTATAATCACAATCAAACTACGGTAATTTCTTTTTTCTTTTTACTTTCCTTTTTTATTAATTTGTGAAGCTGCCTGGAAAGGGGAGAAGAGCAAAGAAAAGGTAATTGATGTGTGTGTGTGTGTGTGTGTGTGTGTGTGTTTGCGTGCGTGTACGTGTACGATTCCGTGAGCGTGTGCATGTGCGTGTGTGTGTGTGTGTGTAGGATGAAAAGAAAGATACAGGGAGACACAGAAGCAGGTAGACAGACAGACAAAAAGACAGAAACACATTTATAAAACAGGAACAGAAAGACATATCTCGAGGGCAATCAGTCCCAT